CCCTGTCTGTGTGTCTGTCTGCCGCCTCTGTGCCCTATCCCCTGTCTGTGTGTCTGTCTGCCGTCTCCGTGCCCTGACCCTGTCTGTCTGTGCACGCTGTTCCTCTGTCTCATTGTCAGTGACTGCCCCCAGCTTTGGCTCTGGACCCCAAGCTCTCACCCTGCCCCTGACATTTCTCCCCCTTGCTGTTGGTGCCGGTGCCCTGTGGCTGGCAAAGAGCCACCCTCCCAGGCAGGTGAGGGGAGGCAATGGGCCTAGGTGCCTGTACTGTGTTTGGGGCTGCCCCCCACCCCATTGCAGCCTGAGGGAGTGGGCGGGGCAGGCAGGCAATGGAGGGAAAGGCCAGGGGTTAGTTAGGTGACTCACACACTCATTGTTCCAGCTGCATCAGCTGAGGGGGCTGGCTAGCGGCTGTGTCACTGCTTGCTTCCTTCCTTCCCAGCAGATGAAGGGCAGCCGTGCGGGCAGCTGGCAGCAGTTGGTGGAGCCGGTGGTAGGGCCGTCAGGGCAGCTGGTTCAGTGCCGGCAGCGCAACCAAGAGCTGCAGGACAAGCTGGCCGTGTCAGAGGCCACAGTGCGGGCTCAGGCGGAGCAGCTGGAGCAGTACAGGACCCTGCTCAGTGAGTCGGCCTCGCGCCTGGTGCTGGCGGGGGGTGGGGGGAGAGCTGCACTGGGGTTCCCTCTCCCTCTGCACCGGGAAATGGAGACAGCCGGGGTCCTGTCCTTCCCGCGTCCCAGGGAGCTGGGCTGAGGCCAGGCGGGTGAGAGAATCCAGAATCATAGACACAGTCTGGAATGGAGCCGTTCTGTGCGGAGCTGCAGTCGCCTGTCTGGGGCCAAGGGAGAACAAGTGGGGCCCTTGGTCTGTGGGACTCCACTATAGGTATCTGTCCCTGGGCTGGAGGCCCACTGCGCCGGGTGCTGCCCAAACACCGAACAGACACAGCCCCTGCCCCAGGTAGGAGGCAGCATGTTCCCAGCAGAAAGCAGAGCCCCTGTGGGGTCCCAGGCCCATGGGGCCCACACGCCAGAGGCCCAGGCTGCCATGTTGGCTCTTTGCCCCGGCAGGCGAGCCCTTGGTGCAGCAGGACAACAAGCAGGTGCAGGTGGATCTCCAGGATCTGGGCTATGAGACGTGCGGGAGGAGTGAAAATGAGGCCGACCGGGAGGAGACCCCCAGCCCTGGTAAGGAGCAAGTGGGGAGGGGGCAGGGCTGGGGGGAGATGGCAGCCTTTGGGCCCAGCCCCTGGAGCTCTGCCCTCGGTGCCGTCCCGTGCCCAGCAGCCCACCGGCACGGGCACTCTCACCACTTGGTTACCGGCAGTTTGCTTTAAAACGAGCTGCTCATTTTGTGGGACCTACAGAAAATCTCTCTGGGTTTCTCCCTGGCGCTCTGCAGTTGGAAGTGACGCTACCCAGCCCTGCCTGGGGCTCCCCGGTGCCAGGCAGTACCCCCGTCAGAGGCCTGTGTGTGGTTCTCCCGTTCTTCTAGGAGCTGACTGGGAGCCCTACGGCCAAAGCTGCTCCCCCAAATCCCTCCAGCCCATCTCCCCGTGGGGCTTAGACCCCCAGCAGCAGGGGCTGGGCACCCCGAGACCTCAGGCCTTCCTTTCCCTCCCCAGAGTGCGAGGAGCCAGATGTGTTCAGCAAGGCCAGCCTGATGGAGGAGCTGAGCCGGCCGGGGCCACGGGGGGGCCTGTGCTGGGGCCAGTCGGAAGACGTTGCCGTTCTGCAACAGCATGTGCGGGAGCTCCAGGTGCAGCTGCAGAACTCGAACAAGGCACTCCAGAGGCTGCAGCGCCGCACCCGCTCCTTCTCCAGCACCAGTGACTACGCCTCGGGCGCCGAGCGGCTCTACAAGCTGGTGCCCAGCGCCACCGACGAGGACGAGGGCTGGCAGTCTGATGGCGTTGGGGCCTTCTGCCCCCCTGCGCTCCAGGCCAGCAGAGACCTCGAGTGGCTCGTCCACAGGGTGTCCCTGCTGGAGGCCCAGCTGCCCGGGCCCCCGGCAGGAGGGGTGCTGCCTGAGGAACTGCGCTCTGCCGTCTGGCCAGGGTAGGGAGCAGATAGACTCCAGAGCAGGTGGAGGGGGACAGGCCTGCTGGGCCAGACCCACAGCTGGAGGGAGTGGGCCGGGGCTTCCAGGCAGCGATGCTGAGTTACAGCAGCTGAGTCTCTGGCCATGTGGGCCATGCACCCAGGGCAGGTGCCAGTTAACTCTGGCATCCTCCCCTCCAGCAGGCAGCTGGTGAAAGGCCCAGAAAGCTGAGGCACAACCCAGCACGGACTTGGCATAGCTAGAACCATTGGGGCGGTGAGAGCATCTCCGGGCAATGGGCTCTGCTCTCCACAGCCATGCAGGCCCGTGCCTGGAGCGACCGCCCTCCAGCAGCTGCTGAGGGATCCTTCAGAACCTCCCCCCCCCCCCCGTCCTCCTGGGCCTGTGTCTAAGGGTTGGGAACCTCAGGGCCTGGCCCTTTGCCAGCAGGAGGCCAAGGGTCTGGGCGGGCAGGCCACTGGGCTCTGCCTCGCTTTGCGTGCCTTCGCTGCACAGGCCAGAGTCTGTGGAGGCTCCAGCTGTCTGGAGGTGAGGCTGGCGCCTCTTCTGGCAGCTCGCTTGCCCTGGGGAGGGACGGTCTGAGAGCAGCCAGGCCGGGGTGCCGCCCCTCCCCATGCCCTCTCTGCCCAGCTAACTCCCCCCTCTGGCTGGCTAACCCTCCTGCCCTCTGCCCTGGCAGGAAATATGACTCACTGATCCAGGCCCAAGCACGGGAGCTCTCTCACCTGCGCCAGAAGATGCGGGAAGGGCGCAGCGTGTGCCGCCTGCTCACCCAGCACCTCAGGGACACTGTCAAATCCTTCGAGGAGCTTCTCCGAGGCACCGACATCGACTACTACATGGGCCAGAGCTTTCGGGAGCACCTGGCCCAGGGTGGCCAGTTGGCCGAGAGGCTGAGCAGCAAGCTGAGCAGCAGTGCGTGGCTGAGTAACATGC